CAACTAAGCAGAACCCTTTGTATGAACAAAAGTAAGAGAAATTTAGGATAAGAATACTAACATGTTCTTGCATGAGGCCCATTGTGATTTGGTTTGAAATTAGGAAATGATTTAAGAAATCAGGTCCAAAATATGGTTCAGTTGTTTAAGTTGGGCAGAGAACAGACGGAATGAAAGTAGCAGAAACTTCTCAAGTATTGTAGTGTAGAGTTCGGCCTTTATAAACAGAAGAGTTCTGAGTAATGTTTTAATTGTGGAAAAGGACAAAGACACATACAGGAAATGTCAGGTTTACACCACCTGAGTGCCGAGCGGTGAATGCTACTGAAAACACAACTATCCCCCCTCGTGGTGACCACTACACTCTTAAAGAGGAACTTACCCCAAAATCAACTGTTTTGCAGATAAACTGTCTAAATTGTGCCCTAAGTGTAACCCTTTCTATTCTATGGCTGCAACATTTGAATTCTGTTATTTGTTCAACGTGCACTGTGTGACGTCATTATTATAATTAAAATATGTCCGGTTGAATTCAGGTCGTCAGATTTTTTAGTCCTGATCTGAACTCTACGTGACACATCAATTTTGTAGTTTGTTTAAAAATATATTTAACCAAAAAGAGAATCTCTAAATAAGTGAATTCAGTTTGTTTTATGGCTGATGCCTCGTGCTGCAGGAGAACCGGAGTTATCACATCAGGCCRCCTGGACTCTGCTGCCCGGGGCGGCTGTGGTCTGGGAGTCGGAGCCCAGCCCAGACCACAGCTGCCCCGGCTGTGTAAAGAGCCTTGTGTCCTGAATGATCCAAAGAGACAGAACACGTCAGACTGAGCTGTACTGTGAATTTTAAATGAAACACTGAACCAAACAGAAATGAAAAGGATGTTCTTTCTGTTCTCTTTTGGACCAAAGTCACATTTTAATGGTTTGTTGTCTGAAAACTGTTTGCATTTATATCATGAAACTTTACTTTTTACTAAATCTTTTCTTTAGAACATTCAGAAATGTTTTCAGAAATGTTAGCTTGTCAAATTAAGCTAAAGCTAGCTTTCACGTTCCCTCGTCCTGGCCACACCTCCTCACTCATCCCCACACTTTAGGCCCCGCCCCTCAGTGTCTCCTGGCACCACCCACTTTGTTGACATTTTTTTAATTAGCCTCGGGGCAGAGTTATCTTTTCACAGGTGGTAAGTTACTTTGAAACTTAGAACTTGGCAGATGGCTAGCTACCTATCTTTAGTAAAATAACAGAAGTCGACCTACAGTGGTTTGCAAAAGTATTCATACCCCTTGAACTTTTCCATATTTTGTCACATTACAACCACAAACATAAATAT